ATATATATATAAATAAAAGGAAGATTTGTAAAATAAGAATTAAATACAATGAGAGAAGTTAAGTCATGATTCATCATTCTATTATATTACCTAATCCAATTTTCTCTCCAAAATTTAAGGAGAATTTAATAAAATAAATTATTCAATTATTAAATGATCATTTTATCCTTGCAATATTCATTCTAATCATTAGTATCCTAAAGATAATATATTTAAAATAAAAATAATATGATAATTAAAAAGTTATTTGCTCCAAACCGGAACACAACTTAAATTAAATTTCTCAAGAATTTTCCCGTTTTAGTGTACAAAAGAAGGGTTGTTCCTAAAAGTTAAGGTAGTGCTCCCGCAACTTCCACACCATCATGTGTTCCATCCAAACCTCTAAATCAAAACGCGTAGGCTTACCTTCTTGACTAGATTCAACTACAAAATATTGAAAACATTTTTACACGAGTCCAATTTGCATCCATCGGTGCTATAAAAAAAAATATAAAAAAAACGCTGAAAATAAAAACTATATAAACGGACTCCCGCTACAATGTTTCAGCTCGTGTCACCGAAGCGAAGCGAAACATAATCACAAACACAAACACACACTCTTCTCTTTCTCTCTCTCTCTCTCTCAACCTCTCACACGTTCATGGATTCTCCTTCTCGCTCCTCCGTCATCATCGTGGGCGCCGGTATCTCCGGTGAGTTCCTTCGTTCGTTCCGAAACGAATTTCCGCCATCGCTCTCGAATCTCATTGTTTCGCTTTGATGATTTTAAGGTCTCGCCGCGGCGAAGGTGTTGGCCGCGAACGGCGTGGAGGACGTGGTGATTCTGGAAGCTTCCGACCGCGTCGGCGGCAGGATCCGAAAGGAGCATTTCGGCGGCGTGTCGGTGGAGCTCGGCGCCGGTTGGATTGCCGGCGTCGGCGGCCCTCAGCCCAATCCGGTTTGGGAACTCGCCGCCGAATTAGGCCTCCGCACGTGCCTATCCGACTACAGCAATGCGCGCTACAACATCTACGATCGCAGGTCCATTCATTTTTTTTCAATTCCACGTAACGACGTCGTTCTCTGTTTTGCTTTCACTGACTCTGGTTTCGTGTTGTTGTTGCTGCAGCGGGAAGATCGTTCCGAGTGGAATCGCTGCTGACTCGTACAAAAAAGCGGTGGACTCGGCGATTCAGAAGCTGCGGAACCAGGAGGAAGAAAGAAATGATGGCGACGAGGAGAGTGACAACGGAGGGAGTAATGATAATGCCTCCGAACTAACGACGTGAGTGAAAAACTGAAAATGAAAATCTTTGCGCGTCGTTTTCAGCCGCAAAAGCCATTTCGTGAATGTGTTGTTTCACATAATAATCATGCCTTCAATTATTTCCTTTTTGAAGTGTTTCGGTTTTGATTCTGTTTCGTTTTTTATTTATTTATTTATTTATTCCTTTTTCGTTGCTCATGCTTTTCGCTGCTTCTCCTTTTAGGACGCCTGAGACACCAATAGAGCTCGCCATTGATTTCATCCTGCATGATTTCGAAATGGCTGGTACGATCCGTTCAGTTTCATTTGCGCCATCTCTGAAACGAATGAAATTAAAAATTAAGTTATTCAAAAAGGAATAAAGAAAAAAAAATTATTTGGAAGCATGAGTGGAGTCTACTTTTTTTTATTCCGAAGCAGGCGAAGCTTCTTCAATATATTTATTCTTTTTCTGCTTGTTTTTTTGGATTCTGCTCTGAAATTGGGAAATTTTGGGTGCAGAGGTGGAACCAATATCTACCTACGTAGACTTTGGGGAGAGAGAATATTTGGTTGCGGACGAAAGAGGATACGATTTTTTGCTGTACAAAATGGCTGAAGAATTTCTCTTCACATCGGAGGGTAGAATCTTGGACAATCGTCTCAAACTCAACAAGGTACAATACAAGGCCTCATGATTAAGCCGTTTCACTCTCTCTCTCTCTCTTTTAGAATTTTCTTATTAGAAGACTTTTTCGTTGCTTCTTACATGGCTATACCCTATTGGTTTGTTTATTTACTTGCTTCCCCATTGCCCCATACCCGGTGAAAATCTGAATTTGTTTGCTTCGCTGCTGTCTTGTGTTTTCCCCTTTTGTTATTGTTTTTCGTTGTCTGTTATTTAAAGCTCTATTGTCCCACTTTTAAAGTTTGCAGATAATGACTTTTCAGAACTGTTTAGTTTTTGTTTTTTGCGTGTGTATTTGCGATATTTCTGTCACTCGTCTCGTGTAACTGCGCACCCTTCTACTAGTGTCAACTCCCATACCTTCTTTTTTTGGTGAAGCTTTTGACTAGTTTATTTTAGAAACATAAATTGCTAATTAATTCTATTGAATTCTAAGATTTTAAATCATATACTAAAGCATAATGTTGAAGCAGCTGATCTCATATTGAAAGACCTGATTGTAGAACTAGATTATTGATTTAGATTTTTTAAGTTTATGCGGAGCATTTTCTTTTTCAAAAGAGAAAATTAAAATAATGGATGTGATTTGCAGTATGATATAAGTCCTTTTTTATTATTAAAAGCCACGTCAATAACTTTCAGGCGCAAAATTATTGGCCATAGCTTTCGTTGGTATTCAATGTTGAAATTGTTGTTGAGTTTAAATGTATAAAAATAATAAAATAACATTTCAAGTCATGGTCAACTCTGAAGTACACATACTTGGGGAAAAATTCTTGACAAAATTTATTTGTTAAAGGTTTGTTTGATGAAGGGGAAAGTAGAGAACTCTAAGGAAGTGTGAGATGTTACAAAAGTGATTGTGTTTGGTAAAGGAGAATTAAAAGGATATGGAGAAAAGTGTTGGTGGGCCCCATATTAAAAATAGTTCTTCCTTTAAAATGAGGAAAAGTATGTTAAAGTTGTGTTTATTATATATATATATATATATATATTATCAAAATAAATATAATAAATAATCTAATTTTTATAATAATATATTATTTATAAATAAAATTACTTATAAAAATCACACTTTCAATAATACTGATAATAAATATATGTTATAATAATAATAATAGTTTTTACCTATTTTTTTATTTATTTTTCTATACTTTCCTTCTCTTATTTTTCCTCTATTTCTTTCCTATATGAGTCGGAAATATATTAAAAGTAGAAAACCTTAATTCCTTTTCTTTTTAAGTGTAATTGTTTTTTTTTGTTAATAACCTTTTAATTAGTGAAGTGCTATTATGTTAATAACTTTCTTTTAATGTCATGTCTCTGTAAAATTGTCTATTTATTTTTTTTATTTATCCTGATTAAATTTTTATGATATTTTAAGTTAAAATAATATTCAACCTTCGAGAAGTGTTTTTCTCGGGACATTCACTGCTTAAAAGTATCTACCCAATTACTTTATGAAATGAAATATGGGATCAAAAGAAATCGAATAAAAAATTGAAAGAAGTGGAATTTCACCTGACGTTGAATTAAATATGTACGTTCTGTAAAAGAAATGTAAAAAAGAAGAAAACAAATCCCTTGATTTTGAAATAACATGATGTTGGTTTTGGATAAAAATATAATTATGCGTTGGCGTATGAACATTTGGTGGACAAGCACTGGGGTTGTTCTACAATTATTTTTTTAAAAAAATTTCTTTTCATCATTTGAGTGTTCGAAGACAGACACTGTGCAGGTCGGTCTCAGGGTGTGTTTGACCATTGCTGCATATGTTCAATTGTTACCTTATGAGATCTCCAGTTACAGGCAAAGTTTGACCCACAAATAATGCCACCTTCTATTTCAATCCTTTTAAAGGTCTTTTACATCTCATAAATTAGTTGGCCCAGGAGTTCCAATATCTGTTACCAGCCACACTATTCGAATTGACCCAATCGTAATAACCTAAGGTAATGTGTCATTTCACTCCAAATAATAACACAGAAGAAGGGAGTCTTGTCGATATCCTCATTTATTAGGCAATACCTCATTCCCTCAAAAGATCAGAAACAAATGGATCTGACTTAAGACAGTTGTGGTCTGGGTAAATTACATAAAGCTCCAATAAATCATCAGTTACTGGGTCCGTGCTCCAAGACTGCCCAGATTCCTCTGTAATAAATATTCCTTGAATTTATTAGTTCATTTCAAGGTGTGACTCAGATTCTCATGACATTTTATTGCTTTGAACTTCAATTTTACTGTACTTTTCTTTTTGACTGGTCGTGGAGTTCATTTTACTAGCTACGGGTTAACTTAACTTCTTCGCCTTTAGTAACAACATGGAGAATTTTAAGCTGAACCACACTATTTTTCCGTCTATTGTGCATGGATTTGTGCAGGTAGTCCGGGAATTGCAGTATTCAAAAAGTGGCGTTACGGTGAAAACAGAGGATGGCTGCGTTTACGAAGCCAATTACGTAATTCTGTCTGTTAGCATTGGCGTTCTCCAAAGCGACCTACTCTCCTTCAATCCACCCTTGCCCGTACGTTTTCTCTTTATTCTACTTCTCTCCTTTCCTTTATTCTACTATCTTTCTTTTCACTTTATTTGTTACATTTATTAAAAATAGAGAGAAATAGACAAAAAAAAAAAAAAAAACAGCATAATGTTATTCAAATTGTTATATGAATTGTACTGGTATATGTATGGTAATAATCTATATTACAGTCTACTACTATTTATAAAATGATGAGAACTTACTAATTAGTCGTCCATACGTGGATATCTCGTGCTTCTCACATTGATCTTTCTAAGGGCATTAATTAATTTGAGAGTCAAGGCCATTTTATCTACTATAATAACGAACTTACTTGTTAATACACGATGGAAATGGGGTCTCTAGGGTGTGGTTTTGTCTATACGGGTCCTACGGTAGTAGTTTCCCTTCTGTTAACAGGTTGTGGCCCCACAGTCTTAAATATCATTGGTTGGGAATGTAAAGAAATATAGAGAGAGCTAGGTCTCTTATTAAATTAAGCTCTCTGGTTGATGACGCCAGAAGAAGTTTTTCGAGGTGTCTTCATATGTAGAAACCGGGGATCGCATGATCCACGGTATCAGTGATCCACAGTCTCATCGTTGGTGGTCTATTAACCCTCTTGGGTTAGGTCAACACGTGGAAAGAGGACGCCAACTTGCACATGTAGATGTGAATTCAAATAGTAGCCTTGTGTTTCTTTAGAAAGATGCTACTTATCTTACAATGGTTGGTAAATGATTGCATTCAAATTCAATAAATAACTTTAATTGAAACAATAGCTTAACCTGGTGCTCTCGGGATCAATTCCTTAGTATTAAAATAATATTTAGTTAGTGAAAGACACATTTTATAAGTGCATAATAATATTTGATTGTCATTTTTTGAATATTTAATGAACCATGTATGTGGTCAAAAGAATTAGCATGAATAATGCAGCTATGTGGAATAGTTAGATGATATCTATTAACATATGAGCTTTACTTTAAATGAAATGGAAAGGAAAGGTTTAAATAACTGAGTGGGGTTGGTGAAACCATAGAAAACGTTGGTGGATTTTAACTTTGTTGTATATTCATATGAACGTTAGAAGCCTATGGGTGGGCTTTTGGACACTCTGCTAGAAAACGATGGTCTAGCCTAAGAGCAAGTAGTGCGTTAATTAACAGCTAGGCCAAGTCATGGTTTTATGGTTTACACGAGGAATTCTGTATTACTGTAATCTTTTACAACTTTTGAGAGTTGTATATGATATGATACAAACTTTTGAGAGTGTTATATCATATGATACAAACTTATGATATTTATGAAAATGTATATATCATATGATACAAACTTACTATTACTATCAGAATTGAGGTCTGAAGGGCTTAAATTTTAGTAAATTTAAATGTTGAAGAGATAAGCATGCATGTGAACATGTAATGTATTTGACCAAACTGTGTACATAGAATTACCAGTGATATGAGGTCATGAAATTAAATTATTAAAGGTATACTATCATAGAGGTACTTTGCTTTTTCCGTATGCTACTCAGGTGGGCTTTAGTCGTCTAAACGTCCCCTCAATGATGTTTTTATTAGTTAATAAATTTTGTCCTCTTCAACAAAATATTGTCTGATTCAATTTGTCCATGATGAATAAAATAATGAAACAGAGATGGAAATTGGAAGCCATCGAGAAGTGTGATGTGATGGTGTACACTAAAATCTTTCTGAAGTTTCCGTATAAGTTCTGGCCGAGTGGACCCGAAAAGGAATTCTTCGTCTATGCTCACGAGCGGAGAGGCTACTACACATTTTGGCAGGTCTTTTCTAAATTTTCCTTAATGGTTGTCAGTTCATTTTCCCTGATGTTTTTTCTACTAAGCTGTTTCTTTTGCTTTAGTTTCTGTTTTGTTTCTGTTGTCGACAAAGTTTCTAGCGATTTTCCATCTATCAATTGAGTGATCAGAGAACCAACTCTATTATGAGTCAGGTTCTGTGGGAAATTATTTATTATTTGAATTAGAAAGGCAGGTAAAATCTGGTGTCAATTTTAACTCCCGTGACAGTGCTAGCCATTTACCTAACCTTAAGGATCAGGTTAAGAATATTTATCTTGCTTTTAGATGATTTTAAGAGTATAAACTAAAGAGAACGATTGGCATCCTGAGGATTTAAATAATACCTTGTTGCTATAATCTATGTGTTGTGCATGTGGGTCACATGGTTCATCTTCTAGCTATCAATTACACTTGTGGTTTATCTTGATTTACGATAAAATAGCTTAGATAATGTTAACACACTTGTTATTAAGACTAATAGAAAAAAAAAAAACTGTTATTAGGTATACAAAATTACGTCTCTAGTTTTTATCCATTCTTGTGGTTAAACACTCTGGTCATACATTAAATATTTGTAAAATAACAATCCCCTGTAAAATGTACAGGATCCTCACGTCCTGTGAAATCAAAGTTTTTGCATAAATCCTAGTGCTCTGGATTTCATCAATCTCATTAGTAAGTTCCAGATTTGAGTCAATTATCGGTTGAACTTTATAATGAGTTTATTTACATATAGATTTCAGTACAATCTATTACTCTTGTCATAATTCAATATACTAGGCTTAATTGATAAAAACTAATCTTTTGTTTGATATGGAAAAATAGCTTTGCTTATATTCCCACCTTCCCTGATTCACGCAAGGTGGCTTAGGTGTATATTTATATATTTTTGTTGAGTTGTAATTTTGACCTTTTTACGTGCTCATGATAATAAATTCTTTTGCTTCAACTATTTCAGTTTGTCTTATTACGATAATATTAATTATATCTTCTCTGGGATAACAAAGATATAATATTTTTCCTCAATTACTGTTGATAAATATTAAATGGTTCATTATGTCTCTGCGATGTTTGTAATGTCAGTATTCCCTTGGAATCATTTGTTTGAGTTTCGTAATGGGAACAACACTACCTATGATTGGTTTCGTATTCATATAGAGTATTACGCAACATAAGATATTCAAAATTATAGAATAGTATTATAATAGGCAAAATTGAATCACACTTCTCATTCCTATTACACTAAAATTTTGGTGTGGCATATCAGTTCTATTCTTGTTAATACTAAAAACCCATGCAGTGATGCATTGATTTTGGATCTGAACTTGTTTGATAAGTTAGTAATTGAAGTCAGGATCAGAATAATTGTCTTGTCTCTTTGCTTACCTGTCCAAATCTTAATTCAGAATCAGAATAGTTGTCTAGTTTCTTCGTTCATTCATCCAACTCATTTTAATTTATCTGCTGAATTGCTTTTTTGTCAGCAGCACATGGAGAACGCCTATCCTGGCTCCAATATTTTAGTCGTGACATTGACTAATGGGGAATCGAAACGTGTGGAAGCTCAACCTGATGAAGAGACCTTGAGGGAAGCTATGGCAGTGCTCAGAGATATGTTTGGACCCAACATCCCCGATGCCATCGATATACTTGTTCCTCGCTGGTGGAATAACAGGTTTCAGCGTGGCAGCTACAGCAACTACCCCATTATTTCCAATCATAAAGTTTTTCATAATATTAAGGTTTGCTTATCATGTTGAACTTTTACATATTTTATAATTGTCTGATAGTTTCCTTTTTATAATGTTCTGTTCTTAAATATATCAGTTGATGCTATATTTGTCTTTATATTCTGTTTTGTTTTTTTGGTTTTGTATTCTTCACTACAGTGCATGTGAAAACAAAACAATAGTTGACGTGTGGAGCTTACAGCTAGCGATTGTAATTAATTGTCACTCCTAACTATAATTCAATGCCAAGGAGTTGTCTTCCTATTTCCTTTGACACTTTGAAGTTAAAAATATGATAACTTTTTTTATAAGTAAAAGGTACAATGAAGTCAATTAGTTTTTTATTTTATTTTATAAAGATGGTCGTAATTAGTTTAACTTTGTGCATATTATTCCAACTATTTACTAATAAATTCTCAATAATTTCTAATAAAATAATAATAATAAATTTATATAATTGTTTTTATTTAGAGTTTGTTTGGATATTGTCTAAAAAGATTTTTAAAAGTTTTTCTATTTTAAATAAAAAATATTTTTTTAGTAGAGAAAATTTTAATATAATTTGTTTTTCTTTAGTATTACCTGAATTCACTTTTGAAGTTTACCATTTAGGATTTAGGGTTTTTAATATAATCTGTTTTTCTTTGGTTTCATTTCGGAATTCACCGTTAAAAAAATATATATATATAAAAAAAAAAGTACGTGTTAGGGGTAAGGTGGGATGGGATCAGAGTTGCATACCTAAATATAAAATTAAGAGTATTTTCAAGTTGGAAACTCTTAATATAATCTGTTTTTCTTTGCTTTCATCCCTGAACTCACCCTCGAAAGAAAAAAAAAAAAAGTCTCGGGAAGCGGTTGTGGGTGGAATCAGAGTTACATGCCAAAATATCCTTTCTTAGCATCATTTACAATCATTAAATTCACATTTGTGAATCAGTAAATTTGAAGTTATTGCTGTTTTCTGGCATCCCTGCTCGTTGATGAATTGGGAATCTGAATCCCACAAAGCTAATTACCATTTAAAATTTAATGTTTGAAATTTCGATTATCAGAGATGGTGCTTTTGCCTTGTGCGTTAGAGATAACTGTACTGTATTTTGTTTTTTGGGGCCTTTTAATTTGTTCCCCTTCTTTAACACTTACGCGTTTGCTATTCATCTATAAAATTAGATAGACCAAAGATAATTAAATAAACTATTTTTGTCGCTTATGTTATTTCTCTCTCTTGATACATTGCAGGCCCCTGTAGGTCGCATTTTCTTCACTGGGGAGCACACTAGTGAAAGATTTAATGGCTACGTACACGGTGGATACCTATCAGGTGAGGCACTATATTTCAAGGCACTATAATTCTAATTAAATTTAAGACTTGACACATGGATGTGAATTTGTTTCCCTTGTTGATATTCTTTAACAGGTATTGACACCAGCAAAGCTTTACTGGAAGAAATGAGGAAGGAAAAGGAAAGAAAAAGTGAGAGCCAAACTCTGTTGTTAGAGCCCTTGCTAGCATTGACAGGATCATTAACAATGTCGAAACAAGAAACGGTGTCCAATATCCACAAGTGCGACATTCCTACGCAATTATATCTCAGTGGCAAGCTTGGGATACCAGAGGCTATATTATGATTATGACTATATATGGGATTGAAGAGAAATTACCTCATTAAAGATGATTCTTAAAGATGCATACTTGATGACAATCATCATGATCAGGTGGGTCCTGATCCTTAAGTCTCATTGAAGTCCTGATCCTTAAGTCTCATTGAAGTCCTTGGTGCCGCCATTGGTAATGTACATTAACGAGTCACTAAAGTATGATGGTGAAGGGAAGAAGTGCCAGAACACACTGCAGATGTCTCCTCACTTTATTCCATTTCACTGCTAATGAAGCTTACTAGGTTTCGGTTATTGAAGGGGAATTAATAATTTAATTGGTATACACTTACGATTACTTTGTTCTTTATAGTCAGAAGTAATATTACATTGTAAGGATAACGGCTGATATGTGGATCCTAATTGTTTTACGGGTCATTAATGTCCATTTTAATTTTCTTGCAATGCCAAGAACATGATTTTCATGAATGAAAATATTTGTGTATACTTAGAAAAAAATGATTCCACGTTGAAAACACCAAACAAGAAAATTTAAAGAGACATAAAAGTGAAGGAATAGGGAAGGAAATGTGCAAATGAGAGAGGTCACTGTCAGAAAATTGAATAGACGACATAAAAGTGATTTCAACTTGATGAGACCCATGATTATAGATCTTAAAGTAAATAAGAGGAGAACCATGACACTAACTCATTTTAGTAGTTCTTTTTTTTTTTTTTTTGGTGAATTACTCATTTTAGAAGTTGATTGCATGATAAAAGATACAAACATAGTATGTAAACTAAATATGGATCCATACAATGAAGGAGTTGAATCTTGCTTGTTGATAACATAAAGTGATAGTTATGATTCAATTTCTTCTATCTCTTTTAAAATTTTCGATATTTTTTTTTTATTGTTTTGCTTACATGATTATGTAAGAGTAGTCATCTTGATCTACAATTGGAGAATAATCCTAGACTCTTACAAATGTTTAATTGAAGTATCTTTATGTTATTGTTTTATTTCTCTTTTTGATTTTTTTTCTATTTAATTTGTTTATGTAATATGTTAAATTGCATTTTTCACAATTTTAGACATTTAATGAAGAACTAAAAAAAGGTGAACATAATTATTAAACTCACAGGAAATGAATGAATTTAATTCTTAAATCATGAAAGTAGGTTTAACACTTTGAAAATTTAATGCATTAACCAAAAAAAAAAATATCTCAATTGAACATAGTTACTATAAGAAAGAAAGAGATTAATTCAATTAGATACACTTCTATTTATTGAAAGAGAACGAAAGTTACATTAGGTTAATTATACTTCAAAGAGGACAAATAAAAGCATTAAGGTAAATAGCTTAAATCAATGGCTGATTGACCATATTGTGGTAGTTTTTAAAACTAATTACTATGGGATTGTTTTGAAATTATTTAGACCTTTGGAGCAGTTTACTACGGTGTCGCTATGGGTCATAGCGACATTAGTGCCACGTGTAAGTTTTTTTTTTCGAAGTCATAAATGCCATATTATTAAAGTCGTTATAGCCGTTAGCGCCTCCTATAAAGTTGCTATAGCTAGTAACAACACAAAACGGCTTCGTAAAAACTCTCTATAACTTATAGTGACACCCATTAATATTTTTTTAATAATTTTTTCATTTAAAACTGTAGTATAAAATATGTTTAAAAAAATATTATTTATTTAATTTTGTTTAGAGTGTATAATTTTTATTTCATAATAAGATATAATATTTTTATAAAAAAATAACTGAAGCGAAATAATATAAAAAAATGAAAAAGAAAAAAATAGATGTTAAAATTAAAAAATATGTATAATTGATTTTAAAAAAATATTAAAAATATAAAAAAGAAATTAAGTGAAGAAAAAAATATTAAAAAAAACAAAACAAAAAGAAATATAAAAAAAAAGTCATTATGGGCCATAACGACATTGTGCCGCTATCATAGCACCTCTAATAGTTGATTTGGCAAAGTATATACTGATGCAACGTATACATCTATTTAAAAAGTTTGATTTTGATGCGTGAGTCGTGAGTGGGGCTCAGAATTTTTAGCTGCTTTAACCAAACGTCTGACTCTAACAGTAGGTGTGCCCAATGCAGCTTCATAATCTTTACCTGCAAATAAATACAAATTAAGGGCTTTTATAATAAAAAGATTTAAAAATAGGTACAGTCGCTATAGGCTATAGCGACACAAAGTCAATAAATTCATTAACAATTCTTTTTCTCCTAATAAACATTGTACCATAGAGATCTCGGGGTCGACAACTTGTTGACCCCTAATTGCGAAAGGAAATGGAAGATTCAATATATATTCAGTTATTGGTATCAGAAGTACCAAAATATGTAGTTGAGGATAATTCGGCCAAGGTTGTATTCGTCACAATCATTACAAAGAGTAATGTCCAACCGTTACAAGTCAATAAAATCTCTTGAATACACTAAGTGAGCAAATTTTCAATGGTAATATTCCTTTACCTATAAATATATATGCATGAAACCTTCATAAGGTACGTAACATAACATATACATAATACACTCAACCACTTGAATTACTTACTAACTTTGGTATCACAGTCTCTTTGCAAGTACAAACCACTTAACATTGGAAGCTGAGGACCAAAGAGTTCCATTTGGAGATATTTTGAACTCATTTTTTAGCAAGAACATTTGGAGCACACACTAGTAGAAAATAAGTATATTACGTCACCCCTTTTACGTCGGAAATACGAAAATCCGACGTAAAAAAAATGCGGTGGCATTTTTGTAATTTTTGCGAACTTTTTTACGTCGCACCTGGTAAGGTCCGACGTAAAAAGTCCAATCTACGTCGCACCTTCCCAGGTGCGACGTAAAAAGTCCAATCTACGTCGCACCTTCCCAGGTGCGACGTAAATTTACGTCGCACCTTCCCAGGTGCGACGTAAATTTACGTCGCACCCTACCAGGTCCGACGTAAAAAAGACGCAAATTTGAATAAGAGAGCGCGAGGCACACCGCGCGCATTCACTTTTCATTTTTTTCTCTGTAAACCCTCTTCCTCTTCGTTGTGTAAATCCCTCCGCCTCCTACTCCTTCGGTCCTTCCTTCCTTATAATTTTTCTATCATTCAGTCTCCGTTCATACGACAAAAACAAGCAGTTTGCGTTCATACGACTAAATGTGTATTTTGAACTTATTATGTGTGTTTCTTTATATATTTTGAGTAGGAACAACCAGTGGCTGAAGCCAAGCCTGAGGAGAACAGAGAAGAGAAGCGATTCTGGGAAGAAAAGCGATTTCTGGGAGGAAAACGCAGAAGAAAAGCGATTTCTGGGAAGCAGAACGGGCCGTTCTGCAAGGAGAACGGCCCGTTCTCCAAGCAGTATGGGCCGTTCTCCAAACAGAATGCCCCGTTCTGCAAGGAGAACGGGCCGTTCTCCAAGCAGAACGGGCCGTTCTGCTGCATTATTTTTCTTTTTTTTTTAAATTTTTACGATTTTTTACGTCGGACCTGGGTATGTCCGACGTAAATTTACGTCGGTTTTTGACCCCCGACGTAAATTTTACGTCTCCCGCTTCTACGTCGGACGTTTCCCTGACGTAAAAACCCCTAAATAACCGACGTAAAAAGGGTCTTTTGTACTAGTGACAACATAGGGTAGTAGAAAATTTTTCCTACACCTACAGACTCTACATAATTGAGAAAATGGCTGGAATAGGAGCTTCACCAAGTAGGAATTATGGAATGTCAAATAACATTCAGGTGCTAAGCGAGTTATAACGAGAATTGCAATAATGGAAAGCACAAAGCAAACAATAACAAAAGCGTCATCAGGAGGAAATGACTCTTCTCCGATGACAAAATGTTGAGTTGCAACAACCTCAGAAAAGGAGAGGATAAAAAGGAAATCCTTATCGACACGAAGATCAAAATACATCAAGCAAAAATTGATTGATCTATTAAAAGAATATGTCAACATCTTCGCTTTGTCTTACCATGATATGCTAGGATTGGATCCCGAAATTGTTGAGTATAAGTGATGGAGGACCACCCTTGGAACTTCATGTAGAACCCATTACTAGGTCCATGGCTAGGAGAGTAGAGAAGGATGGAGGAGACACCATGCTCATCATGTGTGTAGAGTTTTGATCCTCTCCTAAGCCTATCATTAGTAGTATAGAATTTATTGCTTTTATTTCCCATTTTACTCTTGTATTTTGGGGTTCCCTAAATGGTAGGATTTCTTTTGTATTTTTCATTTAGCCTTTATATTATGGGGAAAATTAGATTAGGATTTATTTTTGGACTTAAACCTTGACTTGTGAGGTCAAAGTCCACTTTTTTCTATTTTTAGGTCAAAGGATATTTTAGTCTTTAAGGAGGAAAGGAACCCACACCACATTTAGGGTGTATTTGGCTTGCATTTTTCGACCATACACCTCCAAATGCAACTCTAGATTATTTCCTTCCTTTTATATATACCCTAGGCCTCCCACCATGTACACACTTTGGATTTTATGCATTTGAGGAGCATTTTGCCATCAAACCTGTCCTTAGTCTCCTAGGGCTGCACAACCTTCTCCCTCTCCTCTCAACCTAAAGTGAGTTTAGGGTTCCATTGAGTGGTCTTCATCAAACCTTGGTGAAGTGAGCCAACCTAGAGCACCCAAACAGCTTCCCACCTTTCATTTTTCCTATTCGCCACCTTCATTATCTTCATGCTTGTCGAAACTCGAAAAATTCTGATCTTGCCCACAGATGGTTTGAACTTCCATTTTGAAAACCTCATCGCTTAGGGAATGTTTGGAAGCCAGACTAATCCCTAATCAATGGTTTTAGAAAAGAGTTCAAAGGAATCACCACTGATATTTTACTCAAAACATTAGAAAAAGAAAATATTTTTAATATTACCAAAATGGCCCTCAGCCAAAATTAGGTTCAGGGGTCGATTACGTGTAAGGAAGGTATTAACCATCCTACAATGCCCTATATCGGTACCCTATGATGCAATTAGCGCAGTAGAGAATAAAAGTTTAAATATTTGGTCTCCTTTATTAATGGTTATTTACATGCTTAATTTTAAAATTACACGATTGAACCCAAGACATTTACATGGTCATTTTTATTTATGACAATGTTTATGACAGAAATAGTAGATGATGGAGAAGGAAATTGATGGGAATACCTCTTGAATGAGATTTTATAGAATATGCATCCAATGTGATTGACTTGAGGCGCCTTTTGGCTGCCTTACACACTACAATTTACTTCACAAATCTCAAGAAATATAAAGAGGGGGAGAAAGAGATGATTTTGAGCTATGTAGGACTCTAGTCGGCATTTTTTCCTCCCTGAGCACTGTACTTGAGTCTCATATTTATAGAGGTCAGATTTGACCGGAACAGGCTATTCTGATCACTAGAACTAGGCATTTCGGACTAGTTTGTTATAAGAAATTTTTGAATCTAGAACGACCCATTCCGAAATTAGAACGACT